ATATATATATATATATATATATATATATATATATATATATATATATATATATATATATATATATATATCATACTGGCAAGAGATTAATCGGAAAAGCATTAGCAAAGAAGTTTCTAGAAATCTGATCAGTTAATCCACTATGAAATTTCCTAAAATTGTAAATGTTGCCACTAAGAAGCCAAGAAAAAACATTTCACTGACAGTTTGTTAATTCTTCTTCTATGTGCAGCATATCACAAAATTAGCTTGGTATATATGCATGTGAAATTTGTGGTTCATGTAAAAGTAAATGTAAGTTTATAAATTCAGTCTCACATTTCCACACACTTTTAACTTTTCATTGAATTTGACTATAGCTTCGAGACAATACTTTTTTATTATCGAGAAGATTTAAAATAAATTTTCCTTGCTTTTTTAAAATATTTTCATAATTCGCAAATTGCGACTCCATTGGTTCAGAAATTGCTTCCAGTTTATTCTACCAAATATATTAAATTGCAACTGGGATGATTACTAAAACCCTAAAATTTTTCTCGACAAATATTTCGAATTTTTATTGCTATTTTTAAGGTTGATCAGAGGCTGCTTTACACTAGTTCCTACCATAGTCTTCCTTTTTTTAAATTAATCACCTACATTCGGAAAATTTCTGGCAAAAAAATCAAAAAACTGTTATTTTTTACCCGTTATTAATGGATATTACTTAATTGTATCGGTTTTGTATAAACACAACAATTCATGTAAAATAACTTCTAGTGGAATTTTCTTGGCCAACTGTCGGAAAATCGTCAGCAATAAATCACATCATGAGATTGTCCGATAATCGAGTCCCCAAACTGAAAGAATGATTTTTTTCATTATCTTCCATTAAACTTTTCAATCAAATTATCAGGGTTTCCAGTAATGAATTGTAATCATAAAACTCCTCCACACAACGTTTTCGATACTGACCGCTTTTTGCAGTTTGCAGGATATTCTGTAGCACAATCTCCGGAAATTTTGTTAACAGACTGATCATGATTGAAATTTCAGGAATTTTAACAACTCACGATTCAAGAAATTTCTAAAGTTTTGTGAAAAAACTATTCATGAATTTTGTTTGGAGAGCTCTCATATTCACCGATTTTTACACGATCTTCAAAATACTGATTTTGGCAGTTGTTGATTTTCCCAGCCAAACGTTACTTCCATTACTTTAATTTTGCGACGAAATATAACCCGGCTCCTTTGGTCCTTTAGGCCAGCCATTTCAATTAGTGATTTATAAAGATTAGATTCATGAATTCCTGAAAAATTTGAAAATAAAAAAGTGCAGTGAACTGATGTGCTTTACTAATGAAATCCTAAGTTCAATAGGATTCTTACTTTTTTCATTCAGGTGAATGTGGGCAAACCACTGGGTATTATCAATTTCATAATACCCGGTGGTTCTGCTTCGTTGCACTTGCAAAATTCCCATTAATATGACGCAACTAATTGATTATCAAACCTGTCCCATACACAATACGGACAAGCTAAACAATGTAACAAAGGGTACAGTCTGTTAAATTCAAGATGTTAAAGAAAAATCTTCCACACTAACTGCTATTGCATCAGAGTTCTGTGATCAAAAAGATCAAAAATTGTTTTAAATCAAAAAAACATTATGAAGTTATTTGTTTGAAAAAATCAGATTATTTTAAGGTAGACCCACAACAAGTTCTGTACCGGCTTTACTAACCAAGAATTTTGGCCAGAAGTATTCATTTGGTTTTCGATGTAACAATTTCTGAAATGTAAAATAGGCTTCACTTCGACCAGAACCTGAGAATTTGAAAATTTTTAATGCAGTAGTCGAATTAGCCTCCGATAACTGCGTGTAATTAGCCGACTGATTTCAACATATGCGCAACAGCTGTTCTGCAAAGCATCGATTGATGAGCGAGCATTATCGGGATGCTTTAATGGTCGCGTCATCACTTTTTCGCCCATTGGCAATCGAGCTAAATTTGTTGTTGTTCATATTTTAACCTTCGGCTGCTAAAAGCCAGCTTATCACTTTATTCATTTCTTCTTGGTTAGTCATTTCTGCGAAACGTAAATTTCAATTTACGATAACACCATTAGAAATGGTACAGTGGTGTGCTGTAGCACTATATAACGACGTTATCTGATTTTGAATATTTATTCTTCTTTAAAGAGCCTTAGTTTTTTCATGAATGAATTCTCTATTGAACAGCCGATACACGTCAGTATGAATATGATAGGAGTTTTCGAGTGATTCAGGACAAATGCTTCAATAAAGAAAAACAAAGAAATGACATGGATAGGAATAAGTGTAAGAGCGTGCTTCCGAAAGAATCTCCCTTGCTTCACTGTAAATTAGTTCATTGGAGATTTATAGCTATTCAATTTTTCATCCCATCGAATCTTAACAATAACAATTCTGTTATGCATTACGTCAAAAAAAAGATTTCGAACGATATGCCAGATCACATAATTGATGTATCTACCCAAAAATCTTATTCGCTTATTGTTAGTGGGTGTCTTTTATTTTTGTATTGCTTTCATCTGACCTTTAATCTCTTATGCAATCACCAGCAGTCACTAGATGGCGCTACAGGTTATGTATTACGCGCCAATAACGATTATATATTTTCTCGCTTTTATTCTCACTCAGATATTTTTACTACTTGTATGTTTTAGACTGGAGACGAACTTGTTCGGGAATGTTTTTACAATAAAACTTCTAAAAAAAAAAGGCTTTTCAATAATTTTTCTCTTTTGGTTATGTTAATTTATAATAAACGTGAGCGCATTTTTCTGAAATTTCGGCTAGAAAAGGTATGTACGAAAGTAGGATAAGAGTGTAAAAAACTCTTTGTTTTTCAAATATTGAAAATTCAGGTCAAAGTACAAAAATGATGGCTAAAGTTGTTGTCCTCTCCGCACTGATTATGATCACTGCTGCTTACAAGGAATTCATATTGAAGGAAAATAAAACACCGAAAGATATTTTGATTTTCCAAGCAACTTCATTTGATGGCACGTGTAGTGAATGCAAAGCGGTTAGATTTTTGAAGTATTCTGTCTAAATTCGATTCAGTTTTCAATCTCAAAGACCGTATTTATTTATTTTAATGATATACATTTTTTTTTTTTGTAATCAGGACCTTCCATCCGAAATTTCAGCTCATTAACCGTTTTGCGGAAGCTATCAAAGATCCAAGAAAAGTAACTGAACTAAAAGATTTGCTACGAGTACTTTGCCATGAGACACCATATGAAGACGAATGTCGTCTGTTGGTTAATCAGTTTTTTAATGGAATCATAAGGGCAGTTAATGCAAGACGTCTCTCGACGGTAGTGTTGCAGACAGAGTTGTAAATACTGAGGTCTTTAACGAATATCAAGAAGTTAATCATGGACCATAGCGATTTATCTCTCTAGACTTCCAACAGATTGGATCGTCTTACCTTTATCGCGATGTGTTCTGGGTGGAGATTCAAAAAAATTGCTTGGTTTTGGCGTTACTCAATTATCAATTGCGAAAGATTTAAGCCGAACTCATCTTTCTTGACTGGTTTCCATGGCATTTTTATATGTTTTATGCAACTTTGAGGGTATATTTCAGGAAAATCCAGAAAAGGTTTGCAAGGAATTCCGTCTTTGTTCAAATCGAAAAATCGAGCATTTCCATCGAATAAATGTGATTTACGGAAAAAAAATGCGGATGAGGATTCAACGGTACTTTTTGATTTCTTCATAGTAAAACTGATTAGTTGTTGTTTTGGCATTTAAATTTTTAACAACTTCGGGAATTGTAGAAATGAGATTTTAGATGGCAGCAAAATGCGAATGTACATTCAAATTTGAATGAAGAGAACGATTAGTTACGAAACGAAATTTAGGTACGATATCAGGCTAAAGTTACTTGTAAATTTTTGTGATGTTATTACAGCGTGGACTGATATGTGAAGAGTGTCAGTTCGCGGCACAGGAACTGAAACGTGCAGTAGAAGATGAGAAAACTCAGCAACGATTGAAACGATTCATTTCGGAGGAGATTTGTAGTCAGTTGGGTAGTTTGCGAGGAAAAGTATGCATTTACCAAATTCTATTTGGAAATTAGCTATTAGACTTTTTATATTTTTAGTTTTTCTAAAAATACACCAGAAAATTGTTGGATTTTTCAGAATTTTTTCGATGTCTCGAATATTTTTAAGTTTTGGACGAATTATGAAGTTTTATTTGGGTAAGCTTCTTTTACAGTGCGATCTCTTGCTGGAAGAATTTATGCCAGAACTTATAGAAGAACTCGATAGACTTCTACAAAATACAAAAACAGTAAGTTGACCGATATATGGCTCGGCTATATCTAAGCTCTGCAACAAGAATTGTTTTCTTCTACTAACATATTGATTATCAGTTCATGGTTGTTTGTCAGCTGACTTACAGTAATGTCATAATGGAACATTATGCGTACATTAGGTACATGTTCTATTATACTTTCTGAATGTTAAAGACTCATCTCTTCTGCTAAGAAGATAGCGTCATTTGACCATAAGTGAGAGCGGTATTTCTAGGTTTATAAAGTGTTGTCTTCTTGGAAATACTGATGACCGTTAGAGATAGTACTCTACTTTTTATTCTTTTGTTCCATTGGGGAAAAATCTGTTTATTAGAAATAATAATAATCCTAGATGTAAACTGGAATTCCAAAACTTGCGAATGCAATATCTGATGAAGTTTTTACGAAGACTTTTAGTTCTGTGCGGACATTGGTCTTTGCAAACGTTTAGTTGAGTCACTAACTGTACCAGAAGATGAAGATATCAACTCTCAAAAGGTTGGTATTTTTAGCATCAGTATTTTTGCTGACTTCAACTTCTCAAGAAAGAATATTTTTCATTGAAAAACATGAAATTTTTCCCATTATTGCTCATTGTGTACTTCGTCTTTCATATTTCGTATGCAGTTTTGGTGCTCTCTACATTTTAAATAAAATATTAAAGGAAGTAGATACGTGGCTCATCAAACTTTTGCCTTTTTCATCTCGAATATCCCGAAATAATTTTTTCAAATATCTAAAACGTCCGAAATCCATGATACAGCTTAAAAATTCGAAATTGAAATTCAAATTTAATCACACTTTGTGTGTGCTTTGATACGAAATAGTCACGTCCCAAGCATCTTCATCTATTATCAGAGTTCATCACTAGCCCTTTCATATCACAGTTCTCCTATTTCGATATTTAAGTACAAGATTATGAAACGCTTCAAGTGAGAATTAACATTTCAGGGAAATAGTAATAATTCATTGCCAATAGAGAATAGTTTTGTGAAATCCATGAATGAACTCATGAGTGGAAGCGTTCTGAAATGTTAGTTTTTTCTTTAATTAGTTCGGTGATAAACATATAGCTCCATCACGTGCACCTTTTGATTTCGAACTTCATTTGTAGGATGTGTTCGATATAAAATAATATCGCCCGTCCCGGTTCGAATTGAAATATCTCCTTCACCTGCGATTTATTAGAGCAGAGCTTTGAATAACTCATTAGCTGGTCTTATAAAAACTACTGCTGCTCCTTGTTTATAATC